TTTTTTTTCTTCCTTTTTTCTGGTCCTTCTATATACTTCTACTTATAATTATGTATGATGAATGGTGCATCCATGTTTATAATTAATAATGCAACCGCGGGGATAAGGTAGTGTTTTCTCTTCGTCTTTTGTTTTAATTTATCACATATGCAGTTTATTTGTATTCTTCTCATTTCCTTCTTTTTATGAAGCATTCGTGACTTAATTCTCACCCATGGATATTGATGGACCTTATAAATTATTCTGTTCATTTTTCCGATGAGCTAGAAAGGTATGGAAGTTTTTGACTAATTTCTTTTTTTCTTTTTACTTAATTTGCGTAACGTTGTGTATCTATATGCCGTACACGCGCAATGGCTCAATATGAATGGGTGTAAGGTTTAATTAAGGTAAATGAAAAGGACGATCAATTGCATATCTAGCGTAAGGAAAAATAATTTTGTGTAAACTTACAAATTAAGGGGAAAAAAAAAAAAGAAAAAGAGGAAAATATGATTCTTATTATTTGTGTACTTGGCTCGGTAAGCACAAATATGTATATAACGTTTTGAACGCGGAATGGAATGGAAAAATCACCCGAAGGCATGGTGCACTTAGGGGTTATACAAAATTGGCTCCTTTTACGGCAGTTAAAAAGTACATTTGGGGTAAAACATAATTTTCATAGAATGAGCAAGGTTCATGCTAGAATAAGTATGTATACATGTATAAACCTGTATATATATATATATATATATATATATATATATATGCATAGCAAACATGGGCGCCTAATTCGAGTATACTCTAATGAACTAGTATACACCAAAAGTATTTGTGTCAACTTGTTCCAGAGACCTTAAGTGTTCATTTATGGCATTCGATGAATCATTTCCCTGCATCCTTACCAGGCTCGAAAAAACGTTATGGTGTGCCACAAAATTAGTTAATAGAATTGATGTAGTGGAAAGCAAAAAAAAAACTGCGTAGAGGTGTAATGATATTTAATTAATATAATGAATTTTTGTTTGCCACGTTTCCTAAATATGATTAGCTCTTTATTATCACATTGGTTCAATGGCACGTTTGAAGTAAATAGCGAATGCGGCGGTTCCTTTCGGACTAAACAGGAATTTTGCTTCTCCAACTTATTAAATTATGTTAGCGAAAGTTGAACATTCAAGCGTTAAACCCCTGTAGGCATGCTTTTGCGTCTCTATCAAAAGGTGTGTTCACTCGTTCGTTTGTTCGTACATTTTTAAGACAAAATTTGCTTCCTAATATGGTACAAGTACCACAGAAAGGGGGGAAAAAGCGCAAATGATAGTATGACCGTGTTTGTATGAATACATGGCCCATATATGTGTGTGTAGAGAACCAAATGCATTATTAATTCATATGAGGTCAGTAAGTAGTTTTTCCTTCATATATGAGGTTTTCTCCGAAGAAAACTCGCGGGATGATTTTTATCACAGGTGTTAATTTTTTTTCAAGTTTTTAAATATCTCTTTATCGGTTTATTTATTCTCATAAGCATGCTGAAGCAGCTCTGAATTGGTTTTTATTTTACAAAATTGAAGGTCGGTATATTGTTAAAAGGATTATGCCGGTGTTTTTATAAACAACAGGAAACATGGATAATTGACGTGCATCACGCGTATATGTGCGACATCATTTTCATGTGTGATGTTCCAATGTCGACGACTATGCGGAATAAATGCTGATGAGGATAAAATGGTGCTGTGATTTTTTCATTTTCCCATCGTTATGTGTTATAGAGCCACTTACGACATGCCCATGCGTGTTATAAAGTTGCAACATTCCGTTTTTTCCCAAATGTTTAATAAAAAAAGGCATAGTAACGCTGCTTCGTAATAAAATGCGTTTTTGTGACTATAGGGGGAAAACATTACATGAATGCAGACGATGTTGTTTATAAAAGGAGAAGGACAAAATGAATGAAATAAACCATAAAGGGAGATCATATTATCTCTCTGTGTTACTATAAAATGGTGCAACATGGTGCCAAATGGTACAAGCTAGGGTGCTAACGTAGCCCATTTTTTACACCCCAATTAGCGGCAAAATGTGGCATGAATAGTGTGTAGATGTACTCAATGCGGACAAACGCTGCTTGGTACGCACGAATTATCGGATCAGTTGGTGCTCCAACATAAGTGTACACATCGTGGAACAGAATAAAGCTTCATTACGATTATATGGCATCTTTATAGGGTTACCTTCCAAGGGCAAACAAATTAAGGTAATATTAAGAACACAGCATGGGGAAATATTTTAATATATGGTTATACAAAAGAATGGTGCGGAACTGCTGGCCGTAAAGGCCTTCTACGCATAAAACATTAAAACGAACACGGAATAAACATTATGATTGACCAGATGACTGCATAGTTATTATGCAGCAGTGAGAAGCAATCATCAAATTCATTGTCCCATTTGATCGGCGTTACTGTGAAGCGCATTCAAATGTGTGTGCTACTCAACTGTGGCAATTTTACAAGGTTTTTCCCTTCAGTATAAACAGGTCAGGAAAGTTAACTTCAATGGGGCAATCTTTTTATCTTCCACAAAGGCTTAATACACAATTATGGGTCGTTCAGTTTTGCGTTCTTCATAAAAAGGTAAAGGATGACATCCTTGGTAAAAATTGAAATTACTAATACAAAACTGAGCGCATACTGCAATTGTTGGGCGTACGAACATTTATTGATGGAGTAGTCAAACGAACACGAAGATTCAGGTACCATATGCATGTATGACATTAGGAACAATCTACTGTTTAAGACAAAAATACAATCATAAAAAGTTAACGAATAGTATATTTTACATTGTCGTACAATGTGGTTAGCTATTACACTGAATTTTATTTTAATATTAAGAAAACAGAAAAAATTAATTAACAAAACGAGTTAGCTTTTACTACATGTGTGGGACAGTATTATATATTTATGTTACTCTTAGTGGGGACAAACTGCAGAACATGTGTGTGGAATTACTTTTTATATGGCTCATACATTAAATAAGCTAACAACACAAGTCTTAATAATGTGAACGAAGAGACACTGTAAAATAGATGCGTATTTTTATATTCCATTTAGTATTTTTAGTTTCCTCTGGTGATACCTATGTGACCATTGGTGCGTGCGTGTGTGTATGGAGAGGGCGGTATACCTGCTTTATGATAAGGCAAAAATAGTACCCACAATAATATATGTGCCATCGTAACCAAAGTTACTGTGGACCATGTGAAAGAGAATCTGTAAACAAAAATGATACAGTTGAATATATTACACATTTCATATATGCATAGAGTATAATGTGTATAGGGAGAGGAGTTCATTTAAAAAAGAGGAACCTCTTGTACAATAAAAATGGTATAATTTTTAAGAAAAGCGAAAAAAAAAAAAAATGAAACAGCATGGCAAAATATAATGCACAATTCGCACAATTAATACATTTTATTATAAACTATTCCGCGCGAAATATATGTATATGCTAATTGTGCACGTAAAATACGCTCAATAAATGGGATCATTATTGCGCAATGTAAGGCAACATCCTTACTTCCTGACTCTTGCTCTTACGGCTTAACCGTTAATGCTCAGGCGTCCCTCGTCCACACTTTCGCATTCGTCTTGTTCTTTTTTATGAATTACCAATATTGTAATAATCAGAATCGCATAATTCATTAGTAATACGGGCCGACCATTAAAATCATGATGTATGTTTTAATCAAAAAGAAAAAAAAAAAGGGTTTTATTATGAATGTGTGAGTGAATGGGCAGGGGAAAATTTTAAATTAATGTACTAATTATTTATGTGTAATTTGTTCTTACTATTTTAGCAGATACAATGATGACGGTTAATAATGTTAAATAAAGGAAAATGCAGGGAAAAAAAAAAAAAAAATGTAATGTATTTTCCACTCATGTTCGTTGTCATCAATCATGATTGGTTCGTCCGTGGCATTCAGTAAGGTCTTGGGTTAGACGGAAGAATTAATCAACTCCCTCTCAGCCATTTTTAATGAGGCTGTTTTTACTTGATCTTTGTAATTTTTTCTGCTTTATGTATAATTGAATATAATCTGAATGAATGATTTTTCTATAATTATGAACATATGTAGTTATAGTTATATACATTTATATATAAATGTGGGCCATGGCAAATTTTTCAAGCACCTTTAAATATGTATAAGATTGTGTTATACCAACAACATGGGACGTATATTTTTGGTATAAGGCATTTGGCATTTATTTTTTGAACGTAAGCCGGTGTGTAGGCAATCTATTGAGTTATTTCAAATCTTTCGGAAGTGCTTTTAAAAAAAAAAAAAAAAAAAAAAACCTCCTTGTGAACAGAAAGCTGTGAGTGCTGTTGTTTGAATAAAGAACATTCGTTTTTTTATAAATGATGTTTTTGAACGAAATATTTTTCCCCTGCATGTGACGTCGATAAAGAATGTAAGTTCAACAATACAATAGCGCTTTAAGCCACTTCCCTTATTTGTTATCCTTATATCGACATTTTTCAGGCGCAGCATTTTTAGGGAATACAGTTGCAACATAGTATGGAGTAGACAAATAGCAAAAATGAATCCCTTGCTTTTACTTAATTGGATGCTTTGTAGCTATGTTGCTATGTATATGTACACGTATGCATGTTTTATCGGTGCTGCCACTTTTGGCTCATGGAGTAAATGTTTTGAATTGGTAAATTATGCTTTTAAAATAAAATGTTTTCGTTGCACTAAACATTCCGCGTCTTACACAGCATAATTGGTTTCAGCTGAAAAAAAAAAATATTAAGATAAGAACGATGCACATTCACATTATATTGCATGAAATAAGAAAAATTGCAACAATTATCATCATGATAATGCTGGAATAAACATATATGTAAAATATATAATACAACGTGTAACGAAACAAATTAATGATAATACTCGTAGTATTATCATGTTAAAAATCTTTTGTGTAAACACACATACTTTACGTTATATATTGTTAAAAACTACATGAATAAATTCAAATATAATAAACGTTATACGTATATATATACATATATATAATACGAGAGCAGAAGGATGAAGTATAAGATAATATCGAATATTATGCTGGTCTAACAAAAAATGAATATGTAAATACAAAGATCATTTTTTAGGAATAACCTAAATTATATGAGGTGTAAACATTATTATTAATTTAAAATAATTACATATTGACTCGCACTTAATTGAAATTAAATTTAGTCATTATATTATTTTAACAAACAATATAATGATGTTTATATGATATTTTATTGTATTATTATTCTTATATATAAAATACATATGACAATTGCCAAACATATATTCTGAAAAACTGTGAGGTAAAATACACATAACCATTTGTAAATAGTTATACATATATTCCTGCTTCACTATTAGAAATGTTCTATGAGTATATGAAAATTTTGAATGAATAAACTATCTCAATAATCCTAAAAAAAAAAGGAAGAATTCTTCAATTATGCATTTTACCAACTAATAGCTACAAGTTATCTTTTTCGGAAGAGTTATATATTTCATTCATTTAAAATGTTACAACACACTCTTCTTCAGGGTATTATTCTCATCAGCGTAGAGGTTGCAATTCTATTTATGTTATGGCTCTCTTACATAATACCACACTATTACCAGACGAATTGATATATAATTACAAGAACTATAAAATAGGTTTCTCGTATTTATATTTTGTAGTTCTAATTATTTTATATGATTTTCTAGTAACATTGTTATGACGTTTTACATATATAGTAGTACACATATAATGCAAGCTGCTGCTAAAAGTTAAATTAGTACTTCATGGAGTGAATACATTTTACAATTATGCCCTATCTGATGCGTATTATTGATAAGCTCTCTTAAAATAAATTATCCATTTATGCCTTTGTTTAAATTACATCTTCGAAGTATAAGGATATAAGTATATCAAATAGGCAGCAAACACTTAGCTAGTTTTGTTAAATTGGAAATTCTCATAACACTGTCCTGCATATTCTCTAATTGTATGTAGACGCTAATGTTAATAATTTATTCTTGATGTTATCCATATTATATAACATAATGTGTATTTGACATATCTATTCTTTTCATTAAATACAGTACTGTGATACAACATTCTTTTGGTTGTGTTAAAACTTCCTTTAATTATAATAGCTTACATTGCATTACAACATTATATATTATAGCCTGTTCTTAAATATGCGTTCAATTCAGATGGGTAATTGGTATATATATATATATATATATATATATACGTACCAACATTTTACAATATAATTTTCCTGTACTATTAATGACCATTTTTATAGGTGACGCAAAAAATTCAAAAATTTTGCTGTGCTTTTTAAAATATACTTCCTTCTATAGATCTAGGAATTTATGTATGTCATGTCTTCTATTTTTATTTTAAATATTAATAATATAAAATTACTATATAACAACTAGCTTATTGTGAGCAAATGTCTAAATGGTGTCTTTGTTATACAGCTTGAATTACAGTACACGCCGCTTAAATTATCTTAAAATTATGTGCAATTTTTGAAATTGATTCTCCTTTTTAACATTTTCATATCTTCACACTTAGAACACCCTATAATTGTATTTACGCGAATATACATCCAAAGCTTTCTCCCCTGTGTGTGATAACTATATACTTCAGGTTATATATTCATTAATTAGACTCCATCTTCTTCAATTGAATTAACATCTTAAAATATTTAACAATGTTGAAAAATAAATGATTCGAATTAATCCTTAATCTATTCTACTGTGTTATCTGTAATTTTTGGGAGAACACAGCTAGCCATATTATATCATTATCATAAAGATTCTCTTTGAAAAACGCAGTAATTAATCGAATTATTATACCTTTTTTAAAAAAAACATTATTCACATAAATGTTCATGGTATTTAATTCTAGTACACTTGAATAAAATTAAAATAAGATTTTTCTTGTACCCAATACTTAATACAAGTTATATAAATGAAACTATAATAACCTTTTCGTTTTCATCCTAATATTCTATTGTGGTATGGGATTATATCCTACATAATGTGTATTGTTATTCAAATTAGCACGTTCATAATTTGAATGGTTTTTATAATTTCTCTCTCTTTCATTATTTCCCCTAGTTTCATTTCTTTCTTTTCTTATTTCTCTTCCTTCTGTTTCCTTTTTATGTTTTCCATCCTTACTTCCTCCTTTTTCTTTTCTGCACGTTCTTTCATATCCACCATTTCCTCCATTACTATCATATTTTTCTTTTCGTTCTCTTATTTTGCCTATTCCTTTCTCATGACTCCTTTGTATTCGTTCTTGACCACATTGCTCCTGTTCATGTTGTTCTTCCAGCAACTGTTCTTGTAACCATCGTTCCTGTCGCATTCTTTCTTTAGACAGTTGTTCCTCTTGCCATTGTTCATGTTGCATCCTTTCTTGTTGAAGTTGTTCATCATCATATTGTTCTTGTTGTAGTTGCTGCTGTAGCCACTGCTCTTGTAACCATCTATTTTTTTGATATTGCTCTTGTTCATATTGTTGTTGCTGCATGTGCTGGTGTTGACTTTGGTCTCGCATTTGTTGTTGCTGTTGAAATTGATATTGTGGCATTTGTCCATGTACCATTAACGGTTGGGATACTTGTGGTTGTAGCATTTGTGGCTGTTGCATATGTGGTTGTAGCATTTGTGGCTGTTGCATATGTGGTTGTAGCATTTGTGGCTGTTGCATTTGTGGCTGTTGCATATGTGGTTGTTGCATGTGTGGTTGCTGCATGTGTGGTTGCTGTATATGCGGATGGGACATTGGTGGTTGTGCCATTTGCGGCTGATATAATAATGGAATTTGACGCATTGACCGTTGCATAAAAGGCTCGTTCATTCGTTCATCTTCTGGTGATTGTCCCGAATAATCATACTTGGAAATTCGTTCAAAACTTCTTTCGCGCGTCTTACCTTTCTTTTTGCGTAATACGAACTAAAAAAAAAGTGAAAAATATATAATACCTTTGTTTCATAATTATTAACTTTGCACAAAAATAAAACATATACTCACTTTTATCGTATGAACTCTTTTTAACGTAATTTTTATTTACCTTAGCCATAATAATGAAAGCGGTACCAAAAAATACGAAAATAAAAAAAGCCGCAATTGGAATGGCTACTCTGGGGTTTAGCCAAATACTTCCATTTGTGTCATCAGTGCCGGACACGTCACTATCTATGCTTGTACTCAAGAAATCAATGAGCTTAGGTACTAAACGTATTGCAGCATTAATTGTATTAGTTAAAACATCTCCTAATGCTCCACCGTCAATTGTAACAATTTGTCTTTCACCTTCAGTTGCCATAACGAAATGCAAGCTGAAAACATGAAATATTCTTATTATATTATGATAACTTATTATTTACATATGTTATAAAAAAAAACATATAAATAGAATACGTTATAGGGTCATTTGTCTTGAGTATTCCTCCGGTTAAAATTTTTCTCATTATCTTATGCTTTTCGTACATTTATCATTATTGTTTAATTATACCATATTGCTCTTTTCACGTATTTGTTCAAGAATCAAAAATTTTACATTTTTACCACAAATACTTGAATTACACTCAATTATAATTGACACATCGATGTACAATGCTATTTGAAATACTAATCAAATTATAGAAATGATTAGATTTCTTCCATTTATGCATTTTATGTTGTACTACTTCTTAAATGATATCTTTATTATTTGAACTGTTATATACTGCTTCCATTACGAGGACGTTTTATACAAAAAGTTTCATAAATGTTGTGTGATGCCTTTTTGTCTTCATTAAACATAATCTTTTCATAGTGGTCCAAATATTAGGTGCAATACTAATTATCGCATGTGTTATAATTAAAAAAATACTAAGTGTGTACACGTGGGATGAATGTAGCTACTGCTGGATATTCTGCAAAGGAATATTTCTGAAATGCGTTTTTGTTAATATATAATTTTCCGAGTTTACAACATTACTTCAAATTATTTATATTAGTACATGATGAAATTATTGAAGACAAATCATGTTAATACAAACACACTTATATATATTTATTAACATTACACTGAACAATTACGATAAATTGATCGTTACATACACATATAAATGATATAATGTTCTAGAAATTTTAATATGCATACTACATTAAAATAAAAAATATAACAAATTTCATTAGGAAAAATTATAATTAATATATAAAGTTATTCCTCTGTTTCTCTGAATTACGAAGAGTCCTTTCTACATCTGTATACGCATTATGTAAAATGCAAAACATGTTGGCTTCTATTACATTAGGGTAAAATAATACAACATCTACTTATACATTCACCTCTATATACACCATAGATTACTATGAAGCTCTATATATTCCATAAGTATTGCTTAATTTTTTTCACTAGGAAATATGATTGTTTATATAATTCTGTACATATTTCACATTATTAAGATCTTAAGAATATAAATAACACCGTAGTATTTAATATATTTAAATAAGGAATATGAAGGAAAAAAAAAAAATTCTAAGTATTTATAGCAACATTCATGTATGAAATTTTTAATTAACACGGAAATATGATGCTAACACATATTTACATAATTTAAATTATTATATGTTACATTATGAGGATTAACTTTCAATTTCTTTATCAGTTTTAAGCACGTTAGAATATAGCAAAAAACAGAGATGTGCAGAATACGGGGATTTTTGCTATAATTAGTTTTCTTCCTTTTTTTTAATTAGATACTGCGTAAGATTTGTTTTTTTTATTAACACTTAATATTTGAATAAAATAAATATTTTACTTTCCTTATTGTATTTTGTAAAGTTCTAATTAATTGAAAATAAACGCATTTCTTCTAATTTCACGTTGTTACATCCCTAAAATAGAGGTAACACTTATATGAAACTATAGTGGTGACTGTGAAAAAATTTGTAGAACATGTTTATTAATTAGAAAAATAAATGAAATAACAACATCGATTTTATTTATTATGTCATAGAATATATACTCAAACTTATTCGTACCATTTAAACAAATTTTCTTTAAGGCCCATTTCCATTACCTGTTCTGAAATTTTATTGTATGAGTTCCTCTTTAATAACTATTATTAATCAATTATATATTTTATTATCTCAAATGTTATGAGCTACAATATTTTTATTCCTGAATAACATACATTTATATAGTTATACCTTATCATAAAAGAATACATAATAACGCTGCTTCATGTGTGTGATTTTAAATATATGAGTGTTATATAAGTACTATAGTATCTTCATTCTTTCTATAGAATATTCCTCTTCGCCATTTCACAAATGTGTATTGTATAAAAAAAATGTTTTACCGAAATGAATAAAAGTGTAATAGATTTGCTGTAGGCATATTCATTTTTATATTTTCCATTATGTATACATAAATAAATGCAGGAAAATTAAAAACTTTATTCATGTTTGCATAGAGAGTTTATAATGATCATCCATTTAGTTGAGGTAAAAATGCATAAAATTATAACTTCGTAAAATAATACTGAAAAGCTAGGCATCATTTTTATTTATTTTTTTATAGGAATTCGTTTTTAATGCAGCATTTTTATAAACTACAATACACACATTAGTTTTTTAATGAATGTATATAATGTTATACTTTCTAATTTTAAAATATATTGATACACCTATGAATAATTTATTTGTGTAATTTAATATATATAATGTTATTGATTCGTTAAAATGTAACTAATAATAATAACTTCAAAGGTGTAAGAATTTAAATATACCTGGTCAATTTAATTTATTACAATTGCGTTTAAAAAATAAAAGTTTTTTCTATTCAATAGCTATATAATTTGCTCGTACACATATAATTATTCATGTATACATGTTATTATTGTTTCTGAATAATAAAAGCATTAATTATACAGCTTTATAGTAGGAAATAATGTATTATTAGCACGATGTGTTGCTGCGTGAAGGTCTTTTTTTTTTTTTTTTTTTTAAATCAATCCTTTAACAAATGTGTACAAATTGCTTTGCGCCTGTAATTTTTAATAAATATGTTTAATGCATTTAATGAAATTACCTGTTTGAAAGACAGCTAATGTATAATAATGTTCTACAATTTTATTATTTTTCATAAATAAAAATATTTATTAAAATATGGACGAGGTCAAATAAATAAGGCGCAATATGCAACACCCTGGACTAAGGAAATACATATGTATTCATACCCACGAAATTTCATTAATAATCCAAATGCACATGGCCATAAATTATGATATCACGGTTTGTATACATTTAAGGACACATAAAAGTTATAAACACTTGAATATAATATTTAAGTGTGATTTCACAAGATGCTAAAATCCATTTATGATGTTTATAAAAAGAAAACAAGTAAAATGTACTATAATTAAACAATTTACTTGAAAAAAGTTTAAAGGTATTACTCATTAATGATAGAAGCAGTGAATTATAACTACTATAATCCAATCAAAAGCATAAAATTACAAACGAGCACATTATCCCTCTATTTACATTTACCATAACAACAACAGTATAAAGGGTTTTCATAATAAGTTACAAATGTTAATCACTCTATATATTTAATAACTATTGTATAATTATAAACTATGGTACAAATGTTATTGTTCTCTTATTTATAAATTAATAGTAATAAGTAAAAATGTGTAGAACGAATGAGTATTGTAGTTCCAAATTACAATTAAAACTCTAATGAAACACATCATAAAGATAGTATTGCACAATTTCAATCGCTATATTACATGTCGAATTATGGTGTAATGTTTATGACTCATGGTATATTATGACAAATTAGTCATATTAAAAATTTGCTATATATTATAGTTTTATAGAGTCATAGGTCTTCTAAAGTTCTGTAATTGCATTAGACAACACAGGAGAAAAATAGAAAATTTAAGCATATTATGTATAGGAAAAAAGTAGTACAGATATAATTTACTTAACGTACAAAACTAATTAGTACATTATTTGAAGCACCTGAGAGCAAATTATAATGAAATTTATAGGAATCTTACAAATATTTGTCGTCGCATCAGTTATTTATTGAAATTAGAAAAAAAGATTATGATATGCTCATAATAAATACTCATATGATATATATAATTGAATGCACAAAGTAAAATAAAATGCGAATGCACGTTATACTTTTCCACAAATTGCTCTTATAGAAAATGTGTAACACGCTTTAGCTTCTAAAAGTTTGCAAATATTTCTATGAATTAATGAATGGGAAATCTTGTGCGTTTACTATGAACGCTGAAAAATGCATTTAATAAAAAATATTAACATTTATATAGTTTTATTTTTACATATAAAAAAATAACTAAATGGATAATTATTTCAGCATATATTGCAAAAAATATAGTGTATGGTATGTTTAATTGTGTTAATCTATATAAGTAACATTATGATTCTTTATTGAAAGAAATATATTTCGTATTTACCTTAATTCTTCAGAAACAGAATACATTTTATTTAAACTTCTATTGTCTATTTATTTCTTTATGAATTAAAAAAATATGACAGTTACAAAACGAATTTTCTGAAAAATAGCTCAACACCAAAATATATATATCCATTCCAAAATAGCTATGTATAACATCAGTATTCCAACTATATATACAGGTGTGTGAAATTATGTGGATATTTCTTATGAACATAAACATTCCTAACATATTTACCTGACACTAATTTTGCCACATGTTAGTAACATACAAATGCTTTAATAAAATATTATATAAATCAATAATTGCAAATAAAGTTTTTTAATAATGAATAATAATTGATTCGCTTCGTGTCAAATATTATAACACCCTTCTCCTAAATGCTGTTGATCCTAATAAAATGAAGCTGAACGCAATTCTGTAAAGTGAGATTTCTAATACAATAATCTAACATTTCTTGGTTTAATGATATGTGATTTTATGAAATAGCCATTAAGTCATCGTTACAACGCTCTGTATTTCTTTGTATATCATTTTATTTACTAATATTAATTATACAAGATGTATGTATACTACACACATATATGCAACTTCTAAGAGAAAGCGAAATTGATAATATATGAAATAAAGCAAATTTTAATAATTTGATAAGTGGCTGTATTATTTCATGACAACTTAATTATCTGTGTAAGTGTTCGTTTAAACTAAAGCTTTAAAACATTAAGAAGTAATTATACAACATTATATGTAAAATATTAGTTGAATTTTACAAACTAATATATATATATATATATATTGAGCGATTATTCACTCATGCTATATATTTACTGAAATTCATAATCTTAAATAATTTATTCATAGGTTTATCCTTCATGTATAATATAAGGCACATTTGAAATATCAATCATATTCCATTAAAAATATAGTGTTACAATGTATAAAATCATTCGTTACTTCAGATTAATTCTTGATGCCAATAATTCACAGTTTATTTATTATTGTATGTATTCTACATAGCTGTTTTATAATACGTTCCCATTTTATATAGGTCATATATACATAATACTATAACCTTCTTTTCTTCTATTCATAAGATCAACACGTATGGGACAGTTATATTATTTATTAATTGCTCTTTTATATTAATATGGATTATACGTATATAGAAAATTATGTATCCTATTTATTCACTATTTATATTGAAATTTTGTAGTAATAAATTACTTTTGCATCACTATTTTAATATTACATCAAGTAAGTTTAAGACATATGTAATAATAATTTAAGCAATATTTTATGTTGTAAGAAATTTCAGCGAATCTCTATCATGTCATAGTGTAATATTTTTTTGATCATAACAATTCTGTAAATGTATTATTTTAGAAATATATTGCGTTAAATAATATATCAAAATAAATTCTTCATTCATATAATTTATTAACAGTTTTATACTTTAATGACTGCTTTTATCAAGTAGACACCCATTGCACATTATTTCGCAACAAGTGCAGAATTAATTAAATCTAATAACAAATTTTTGTACTATATTTTACTATCATTAATTTATATTTCTACACCGGAAAGCAAATAATACTTTTTGTTGTCCTTAATGTTGTAATATCATGCATATGTTTGCGAAAATGTTATCATCTATAACTTTGTTTCACTTAAATTACTTTCATATTATGCGGTTCAATATTTTTGCTTTTGTTTCATTCATTCTTATTCTAATATTCAAATAAAATTTAAACGCGCAATGTACACGTTGATAGATAATATACAATATCAAGTAATTCAGCTTATACTTGTTTTTTAATTTTCCTTAAGTTACTTCTACATGGGATTGTAACCTAAATGATATATACCATCGTTCAATTGTGTATGCTCAGGTTTGGTTGCGATATTTATTTGCTTATAACTTTCTTCCGTATGTGCTTCAATTCCATTTATTTCAGGTTGTTCATATTGTAGAATTTGCATTTGAGGTTGCTGATATTGTAGAACTCCCATTTGAGGTTGTTGATATGGTACCACTTGCATCGGGGTTAGCCCAAATGGTTGTTGCTGCATTTGTGGATATATCATTGTGTTTTCGTACACTTGCGGATATTGCACTGGAGTTGGATATATTTGAGCATACTGCATTGGAGATGGATACATTAATTGTTCATAAACTTGTCCCCTATGTCTTTGTCTCTTCTGCTTTCGCCGTTGTAGCATATGTCTTTTAACCTGTCTTTCATCATTTTCTTCATCATCATAGTATTCACATTCATCATCGTCTTCTTCTTCATCTTTACTTTTCTTTTTCTTTTTCTTTTTTTTAGTGCTCTTCTTGCCACCATTAGCTTCTTTTAAAATATCAATAATCTAATAAAAGAGGAATAACAAAACATATGTTTATCACATTTATTTTATAAAGATTTCTAAATGATATAGATGAAATTTGCACATATATTATAAATTTTTTTTGAATATATTTTTCCCTTACTCTTGTACTAATAGTATAAATGATACTAACAACAGTTGAAGCAAAGAAGAATAAGATTGGAAATGCTACTTCTTTATTCCAGCATAGAATATGCTTTTCATTATTATCAACAAGAGGACATAGTATATTTTTTTGAACGAAAGTTACTGACTGATCGCAAATCGTTATTATAGGGCCTAGTATATACAATATTATGGTAGCCACGGTGCTCTTAACTTCCTCTATGGATTCGTCGTTAGGTTTTACACTTGGTGCTTCCTGTGTCATTGCAGCGGCCATTTTTAATATTAAAACTATACCACTGTATATTTAAAGAAAAAACTTCAAAACATCATTATAAGTGGAATTAACATATAAATTAAAAATGTCATATGACAATCCATCTGGAACACACTGATGATTACATTTTTTCTTAATTCATTAGGAGTCAACGTATATTTTCTACATTTCCTCAACTATAATGTTGTCCTATTATTATGCACTTGGTATTTTTTAAGCATTTGACATTTTACAAATGTGTGATTAAATTATGTACTATTATTCTTTAGCATTTCGTGTCCTGTAAAATTTCAAATAGTAACAAAATTATAGGAAATGTAAGTCTTTATCCATTTATGTATTTTACAAAAAAACACTTCATAATACGTGTATAAATATTTTAAATGATTATATATTTTTCTGTTTCACTTGAAGCATCAAAGAACAATCTTCATATGTGTGTATGACTTTGTGTCTTCATTCGAATAATACTTTCTCTCCAGTTAGTCGTATTACTGAAAGGAATAATCGTTGCATTTATGCTTATTGGAGCCAACTCCGTATTAATGGTGTGTAAGCGCTAGCTATTGTCAGGTTTTGTTCAACAAATGATTCTGAAATGATATTTTTGTAATATATAATTCTCCAAATATATAGTATTTTCTTAAAATATTTATATGACTGTTATAAATAAAATGTTGAAAAAAACAAATTCACTTATAGATTCTTATTAATTTGAGTAAGTAATGTAGTCACGTACTTAAGTGTGAACATCCGGAAAAAACATTACGTCATTGCTGAGAAATATTATATTCTAATTGAAGCTATATGAAATTTCATGCGAACACATTAATTAAAAGGTACTGCTACCTACGCTTTGTAGAGCTCATGATGATTCTCCATTTTATTTTGGACGTAAAGGAATAATTTATGTAGCTAAAATTGTGAGTACTTCAGGGGGTACATTTGTATAACAAATTACGAAGTGTACACATAAATTCCATTGATTATTATGAAGCTCTAAATTATTATAAATGCTGTTCAATTTATTTCTAATTATATAACACATTGAGGTATTGTCCCTTTGAAACTCTTTGTACCGCCTTTTCTTGTAGTGAAAATAACGACACAAAGTTAACTATGCTTAATTAGTTTAGAAAAGGCTGATAAAATATATCTAAACAATTACCTGTAAAGAACTAGTTTTATAATGTTCCAAGAATATATGTTTAAACATCAGCAGCAGTAGTAATAATAAATTAAGTTTACGTAATAAAAAAAGTGTACAAGTAAAACATGACGCTTAATTTCATTTCTAATATAAGGCCAGCTTTTTTAATAGAAAGAATTGGTATACGTTATAAGTAACATGAATTTATGGACCTGTATTCTTGGATATAGCTAATTCCTTGAATTTTTTATAAAATTATATTATATACCTTTATATTTAAATTTTCATGATATATTTGTTTTGTAATGTATCGTTTTAATGACAATGATTTGGTGGGCATATATTAAATTTATGTTATATATTAAAATGTACGATATGATCACCTGCAATATCAGCTGTGTGAGTGTATGATATATAGTGGAATTTTTTTAAATAGGAAGATAATATAACATGAAAAATTATTTTAATATACTGTATATTTGAATTTATGTGATTTAAACTAATTCTTATGATTTTTAATTGCTTTCTTATATTTATACTTTATTTCTATTTTTCTCGTTTAACATTTTTTTTAACATCATATATTTTAATTATATATTATAATTTACCTAGTTCATGATTAAGTATTATGTTTATATATATATGTGTATATACAATAAATAAACATATACCAATGTTATTACTGAAAATGTGTGAATAAATCCATTACATGGAAACACTTTTAGAAATATATGAATTTACACATGCGAAGAAATTTTTTGTAAATATTTTCGATATTGTAGTATGAGCAATATTTAATGTTATTAGATATGAAATAATTATTTATAAACTGTATGTTTTCCTTCTGGCGAACAATGTGATAAAGTATATCTGGATTCAGTTATTGGATTTTGAGTTTTCGCATTTTTTCTATATTTACGGATTGGTGTGTTAAGTATTATTTTACATCAAGCGAGATTCTATGATCAATTTCCTTATAATTGAAGTATTAATGTATGGAATAATAATAATATAAAATAAGACTAAATTGATTTAGCAAATTTTCTAAATTATATTCGATACATACATTATTATATAAAACAGTAAAATTCCTCTCTTTTTATTTTTCAATAAAATATTATATAATAATTTGAGGTGATATATAATGATTTTTTCCTACAAAATGCATTTATACCTACATGTTTGTTTTGTATTTTAGGTATTTAAATTTCGATGTGTGTGTTTTATGAACAAGTGTTTAACTATAACATTGAGGTTATAAACTTTAATTTGACTTTATATAAGTTCATTTTATTGATGCAGATTTAAATAAGAGTTTAATAACTTGTTAATTTTTTCTTTATCATATTGTATTTACACATTATATTTGAATATGTATATATACTTTTATTTAATGCAGTTTCCAATTTACACATTTTCATTTAGAATAAATTAACATTGAGCTATTTACTGATCATTAACGGATTCATAGCAGTGCTTGGTGTGAATGTCTTTTCTTTTTTTTTTAAGGTCCAAAGAATATTTAATTCAATCAGATAACGCATTGTAATTTAATTTACATATTTTCCTCAATAATCTAAGTTTCCTTATAATTTTTACTGTTCATCATTTGTAAATTCTTTGTACTATAGAATACATTAATATCATAGTGAACGATTATTGAATATTCCATTAATCCATATAGCTTCAGAATTTAATGTGAAATACGAATTGCTTATTGCTGAGAATATAATTACAATACATTTTTTAAAAAGTGTTAAAAACTAATTTATATATTATATTTTTCCAATGAGAATTATATTGTTTTGCTGACGTATCAGTATTATTGTATATATATTGTTAATAACCAGTATTTGTGTTTATGATTTTTTTCACTTAAATTTATTTTCTTTTTTATTCTATTCATCATTCATTTCGCTCATTTCTGTTAAAAATTATGTGAGGCTTAATTTAGATGTACATTCTTGCATTTTTCTTTGAAACCATGCTATAAGGTATACATTATTATAATAATAACCTTATCGAATCAAAGCTTTACTGAGAATACCAAATTTCCTATTAATAATTCTTTTTTATTTAACATGTACAGAAATATGGGATTAGTATATTACGTCGCCGAAATAAACTAAATATAGTATCATCAATGAAACATGGTTAAATGGTTGTATAAGGAAAAAAAAGAAGAAATTACTAGTAACACCTCATAAGTAAATGTGCATAATAAAATAAACAGGAATTGCTCCATTATTTATAATAGGAGTCTATTTATTTCATAGGATGCTTAACATATAGAGAATCTACATTTCGTAATGCTGTTTTTTTTTTTTCTTTTTTTTGTACAATTTCATCTACTTATTAAAATTTAGTGTCTATTTTAACTTTGGGGATTAGTGCAGGTTATAATTTTTTTGTATAAGAATGCTCAGTGTCATTTTACAATGTATAAAAATATTTATTTCTTATTATTAGTAAAGACGAACACACGAAATGTTTATTGACGCAGTACTTTACCGAGAAGTAATGTAAAATTGCTATCTATTAATTTATGAAGGAGTATATTGAGAATTATTCGATTAGATACAAATTATATAGTTAAATATGAACCAATTTTTATTGTTATTAATTTCACGAAATAATAATTGTAAAAAAAATAATGGTAAAATAGTAATTGATAATTATTAAAAGCGGTTAATAACATGTTAAAATTGTTGATTAACTTTTAAAAGCAGTTACTGTAACAGGATATATCATATTTTTGTAAATGATAATAATTAAAAGTGTGTATATATTATATTTATGTGTCTATATATTGGATTTCTATATTACGCCTAAAATTATAATTACATAAGCTTCAAGATGATACATTATACTTAATTATCCCTTATACTGAAAGCTTATATATTGCTCAATATTTAGGAAGTGTGCTGTATAGTAATGAATTCCTTATAATTAATGACACCCTTTCAATATAACTACTTTGTTACAGCACAACATGCAATTATATTGTATCATTAAAGCATACAAAAAAATAGACTTATTAGAAATATGAGATTTCAATACAGATCAATAGACAAATGTTTAAATGTACACAATGGCTATTATATTACTTTGAAAATGAACAATATATGGGTTAAGAAGATAATGAAAACATGACTTGTCCGTCATTCATAGTATTCTATAATATGCTGAAATCGTTACTGGTGCAACAACTAATATAATTTTTGTCCTAAAGAAAAGTGTCCTATGAATGCTTCAGTATAAAAAGATAGAACTTCGTGATGATCATTACAGTATGATCAACCTACTAATTTTTTCGAATCATTGAATAGTTATTGCTGTCATATATTTAAAAAACACAGATATTCTTATAATTTAGTGAAGGTTATATATATCTATAACGTGAGCAGTAAAACAAAATACAAATAAATGTTTCATGTTTTCTTTTTCCTAATACACAAATATGTAGTCCAAAATATAGTGCATAAATTATACATTTTATTAACATAAAAAAAGAAATTGTTTTTAGTGGACTCCTTGGGGAGGTATAAATTTTGTAAGCTCAGTAATATCTCAATTAGGAGAAGCATGAGTTAAATGATTTGTTGTGCTCTTATTTATTATGAACAAAATATATATGGACATAGGCAAATCAAATTTAACGAAATCGAAAAAGGTAGATAAAAATATGAAAGAATTTTAAAGGAGTTATATAGGTCTTACAATCACATGCTTACATACATATATAAATATATATATCCTTTGTGAGTAAAAATCATTCATATATTATTTGTTCCAGATGTTTACTTAGAATAAAAAATTTATGAATTTTCAGTAATACATTTATTATAGTAATAACTGCAAATAATATTTGTCTAAATATTTCAGCAGGTACTTAATTTCATAGGATTTATTACGGTACTCCATAGTATACGTTATTCAAAAAAAATTGAGTATATTTATATGTTACTATATTTTTTATTTAGTGTTGTGAACACACTGGTTATTTTGATATGTAATTTGAACGTGTGACAAATAAACTGCTGTTATTATAATATTTATTTTATGTGTACTATTTCCTGTATTAATAAGCATGTCACAAATGTCCATATCCATCACATATTTACTGAACGCTTAATGAAAGGAAATATTGAAAATTCAGAGCACACAGGTTTTTAGCAAAAGTAATATTTTCATGAGAGGGATTGCTTTGTTATTACAAAATCATGTTTTTATTATAAAGGCTTGAGTTATTTCTTCAGAATATTTTGAAGGGTTTATTGAAATAATGGCAAATATATTCATGCTACAGACAAACTCAAATGATTACACATAGTAATAAATTTTCAAATAATAAAAATATAAATATGATAAATATTAAGGAACTTCAATCTCTTTTATCTAATTAATATGTACTTCTTCGTGTTTAGTAGTATTTTAAAGTTTTCGTATAATCAAGCGTTAAATGGATACTTCAAACACGTCTATACATTATTTCTTTACAACTTCATATATTATAGAAGTTATTCGTATTGTGTGCATAAGAAATATTATAACGTATGACTTCTTGGATAAGCTATTTTTATTTTATACTCTATTCACTGAAGAAAAACAATGTACCTAATATTGTAAAATATTTCTTTGCGCTCAATCCTTCCAGTTAACAAGTAATCATGTCTTTACATAATCAGTGAACCATTTTGATATCTGCATAAAAATTGTTCATATAGAATAATTATCTAATAAATATTAAGAATATGTTTTCTAATGCTTATTACATTAAAGTTAGCAATTCATTCTTAACATTTTGCACATTGTACTGCTTAATGAGCCTTTGAATAAAATATCCACATTAAATATCCTGAGAGTGTATTTCATATTTTCGTTTGAGCTTGGTTTCAGTTTAAACAACCATAATTTTTTTTCCTCTTTGGTATTACCTTATATATTACGCATGAGTATTGTACTTATGTTCTTAGTTTGGTAAAATATATATAAGTATAATTTTTAAATCTTCTTTTTTATTAAGAAAAATTACACACATTATGTTAATGATTTTTTTTTTTTTTTTTTTTTTCTCTATATAAGTATATCATAGTGTTTATAATTCTGTTCATATTATTTATTCTTCGTTTAAGTATACCATTTAAATTGCTAAATTATTGCGTCACAACTTTGTATAAGTAGAAACGTAAAAGAAATCTATAATCATTATCATTTCTTGAGTTGTACTGTGTATGTGCGAAATTCTATTAGAATTATGTGTCATTTTTATAAGTGCGCCGTCTTCTTTTTTTTAATTGTATTTATTGTTCACATTTAGCTTTTTGTTACTATGATGGGCTACAATGAACATTAAAGGTTGTTTGTTATATATAATTATGTAATAATTATGCTCTAATATTTGTGTGTACAGATATTATAGTGCATATTTTTGTTATAACTCATTATACTACATCCTTTTATAAAATTTCAAGCTAAATTATGTTTTATTTGAAACATTAATTGTTTTTTTCTTGTTATTATATGTTTATTATGGCAATTAGTTTCATCGTATTTTTTTTTTATTATTAATGATGTTATTTCATTAAGTCGCATGTTAGAATGTTACATATATAACCCTTTTTTACTTTAATTATGTTATTCAATATTTTCTCCATGCTTCCTGCTTTATCTTATTTTTTAATTATCTGTTCCTAAATTTAGTTTACGGTGGCTGTCAGTACTCTAAGTGTTAATGTGCGTAACAAATGATTCAAACTGTGCTATTTTTTAATGTGCTAATGGGTGATACCCTAAAGTGAGTGTATCATCATTCGAATAATTTCTTTTATTCTTTGAAGGTAAATTACATTTTTCCTTTTTTTTTTTTTTATCTAATTCGTTTCCATGTATTGGTGGATGCAATATTCGCGATGAAAGAATTTGTTCTTGTTGGATTTGAGGATGTACTATTTGTGGTTGTAGCATTGGTGGTTGCACTATTTGTGACTGTGACATTTCTGATTGTGGTATTTGTGACTGTTGCATTGGTGGTTGCACTATTTGTGACTGTGACATTTCTGATTGTGGTATTTGTAACTGTTGCATTGGTGGTTGCACTATTTGTGGCTGCATTATTTGTGACTGCACTATTTGTGGTTGTGGCATTTGTGACTGCACTATTTGTGGTTGTGGCATTTGTGGCT